CTCAAGGGTACATCCTTCTTCCCAAGGCAAGCTAACTTCTTCCCCCAGGACTGAGACCCCTAAACTTTCATTTGTTTTTCTAACACATGGGCATCACTTAGAGATTGCTTGTTATCTGCTATCTATTTAACGGATTAAATATCCCTTCTTGTTGATTAAGTCCTAATATTTTCCCCCACTGCTGCAAAGGCTCCTTTTCTAAAGAAATATAACTTGTTTGGTAACAAATGGGGAGGCCCTGCGCTCTCTGGCAACCAGTGAGGACCCGAGGAAACAGCATGAAGCTGTGTCAGAGGAGGTTTAGGTTAGATACTGAGAAAAGGTTCTTCACCCAGAGGGTGGTTGGGCACTGGAATAGGCTCCCCAGGGGAGTGGTCACAGCACCAAGCCTCAAGAAGTGTTTGAACAATGCTCTCAGGCACACGGTGTGACTCTTGGGGTGTCCTGTGCAGGGCTAAGAATGGGACTCCATGATTCTTGTGTGTCCCTTTCCAACTCAGAATATTCTGTGATTCTGTGAAGCTGAGTCTTTGGGGGTCTCAAACAGGCACTGAGACTGGTTCGGACTTCTCTGGAGGCAGCAGGACCGGTTTGGGTGCGCCCGGGGATCGCCAAGCACCCCGAGCTAGTGTGGGGGATCCTTTTTTAAACCGAGCGCTCAGGCGCAGGGCTGGGCTGGCTCACTGCTGCCGGGACATGCCCCGGGGGTGGCTGTGCCGCTCCCCCAGCTCCCGCCGGCAGAGCGCATCCCGCCACCTTCCCTCAGCCCCTCAGCCCGCTCCCGCTCCGGCTCCCGCCGCGGCACGGGCACACCTCCCGGCGCCACCTCAGGCGGGCGCACCTCCCTCGGCGGGAGGCGCCGGCCCCGCCCGGCCCCGCTCGTCCTCGCCCAACTCCGCTCGGCCCCGGGCGCTGATGGACGGGCAGCGGTGGAGCGAGGGCGCCGCGGAGCGGCTCCGAGCGGCGCCGGCCTCGGGAGGGGCGCGCAGAGGCGGCGGCGGCCGGGCAGTGCTGCCGAGGCGCGGGGAGGCGGCGGGCAGAGGCCAGGGCGGCCCCGCTGGGCCGGGGCGGCAGGCACGGAGCGCAGGGCTGCGGCCGCGGCTCGCTGGGCGAACAGGCGGCCGGCGGTGCCCGCAGCGCTGCGGGCTCCAGGGGGGCGGCGCAGGGCGGGAGGAACAGGGCCCCGGCGGCTGTGAGGGACAGGGAGAGGGGCGGGGGGAGAGCGCGGCGGCGGGGACGCTGCGGCCGGGAGGGGAAGGGAGGGACCGGGAGAGGAAAAGGGTGAGGCAAAACTTGGTGCAGAGGGAACGAAATAGGGAAAAGGAAGGGAGGAGGAGGTGGGGAGAGCACAAGGGAGGCGGGGGTAGAGAAAGACGTGTGGGAGCAGGAAAAGAAAGGGGTTAAGAAGGTGGAAAAAAAAAAAAAAAGGTAGAAAAGAAAGTCTGAGGGCCTGAGAGAGGGAGAGGGAGGAATTGGGACGTGACCAGAACGGAGTGGCCGAGTGAGAAAACCGGGAAGTGGGACAGAAACAGAAGCAAAGGGATGGAGAGCAGGAAAGACAAAGGGACAGAGGGAGATGGACACTGAGATGGAGAAAGAAATGTAGAGATGGGGAACAGGCACAGAGATGGAGATCCGCAGTCCTCATGTCCCTCTGGAGCACATGCTTCAGGGCTCTGTCCTGGGATTCACCAACTGTTTCGTAATCTTACTCTCTGGAGACATTCAAAATCCACCTGGACATGTTCCTGCTCTAGGTGACCCTCCCTCAGCAGAGGGTTTGAATTAGGTGATCTCCAGAGATGCCTTTCAACCCTAACAATTCTTTTATTCTGTGATTCTCCTTCAAACTAGGGGAAGGACTCCTTTGCCTCCTCACCACCCCACACAGGCATCAGGAGAAGCTGTCTTTCCAGCTGCCCTTGGCAGGCGAGGCCAGGAGGGAGGAATGGAGTTTGGGACCAGCATGGCCATGACACAAAGTGATGCTGCATCTCAGACAGCCTGTCAGTCACCCACAGGTCAATAGAGAGCCGGGATGCTTTTTGAGCATTCTCAAGTGGTCAGGATGGCCAAGGCTGACTCCAGGAGTGCTGCAGACAAGCACAGATGCAGTCTTGGCTGGGCACTGCACAGACTTCTGTCCCCAGTGAACCCCTGCCAGGCGGGGTGGGAGCTGGCAGTGCTCTCTTACCAGCTGAGCTTCTGCCAGACCCCAGCACTGCAGCTTCCTGCTCCATCTGCTGCTTGCTGCAGTCCACAGGGCTTGGTTGAATTAGGGGGGCTCCCCACTGCCACACTCACTCCTCGTGCCTATGAAGATGAGCCAGAGACAGGGTGAGCTCCAGTCACTGCCCTGACCATTGCACATAGGCTGAGGAGGGGAAATCTCCCTCCCAGCTGAGCTCTGGTATGCTGCCCTGCACCTCTTGCTTCCCTTCCTCCTATGTGGGGAAAGGACAGAGCAGGGGCTGAAGTGTTAGAGCCTCAGCCCTTGGATACAAAGGGCCACTGGCACTACTGTAGCTCCTCACACCTTGCTTTTGTTGTGCAGCTCTCTTCCGTGTGCCTTTGGAGTACTCAGAACTCAGGTGCAGCTCCATTTCCACCTCACCCACCCACGGGGCCTCTGCTGCCTGCAGGAATGAGGAGCCATAAGATTCCCAGTTCATGCAGACCCTCCTGCCACCATCTGCCTCCCTTTGCACCAGAGGAGACCCCTCCACAGCTCACTTCCCCAGCTTCCCCATCCCAGCACCCAGCAGCATTTGGATCACCCCAGCTAGCTCCCTGCTTAGCCAGCCAGATGTTCACATCCTTGCAGTGCCTTGTCCTCCAGCATCCCCAGCCCCACCAGGAAGGTCACTTGGCCTCTGCATGTGTGACCTGATGTATCAGAGGGATCTTAGCACAGCTCTGCTGTCCACGTTCCTTGGAGAGGAGCTGAACCCAATGAGTGGTCTCCACAGCTTGACATGCAGGGGGAAACCTTGCAGAGCGTATGCACTCCAGCACTTGACACCTTTGCCTGAGACTTCTCCAGATCATTTGTGACTTATTTTAACTAATCCTGGGGCAAAGCACTTTGCAGTGCTACCTGCAGAATAAGGGCTTTCTTTATCCGCTTTTCTCCTTGCTCAGCTGTGAAGTGTGACTGTGGCCAACTGTCCTTTATCCGAGTTGACTCCCAGCCCGAGGTTCTGGAGTTTGGCTTGGAAGTCAAGCCCAGTGCTGGAAGGGCTGACTGGGCAAACTCAGCAGCAAGCTTTGGGAGAGGTGGTGGAAAGAGCAGAGATAGCCCACCTGCAGGCACACCCAGCCATAGAGGAAGGATGCCCAGCTCTGAACTTGCTGAGTTGTAGTGCTGTGATCAACAGAAGAAGCAATCCCAAGAAGAGGAGGAACAAGTCACATAACTTCACATGGTCAGAGCACCACCTGAACTGGTAGGTAGAGCCTTGATGCAGACACTCTCTGTAAGCCCCAGCCTTCAGTAGTCCATCCCAGCTTTTCACAGTGGGAAATGGCAGTGAAAGAAAATGTCTATCTCGCAACTCTTTGGTGAAAAAGCTTGGTTTCTGTGTTCTTGTTACCTGCTTCTGTAGGAGAGGGAGGCTGAGCAATGAACCCAGAGCTGAGGGGCAGGTATTCATCCTTCCTGCACGATCTCAGCCAAAAGGGCCCCGTTCTATCATCCCTGTGAAAGCCTTTTGCAGTAGCAGCACTCCCAGATGAACATGGGAGAGAGAGAGAGGAAGTACCACACAGACTTGCACAATGATCTTGCTCTTGCTGTTTCCTTTCTTGTCAGGCCTGTGAGCAGGGAACCACACCTGCAGGCTATGTGAGCAGTGAGCCCAGCAACGAGCCTGGTTCCAGATCAGGAAGGCAGTGACTTACGTGGTCTGCCTTGTACTGCCAGTGCCTTCTCGTGATTTCTGAGGGAGAAAACTTGGTTGTGGGATATCCTCAGTCCCCATCACTGCTCGCAGCCCAACTCCTTGGCACTAGAGCTGGACCCCAGTTTCCCTTGCTCCAAGCTTGTGATACAAAAAGCATCCATAGGTGTCTGTCCACCACTGCCTCCTAGGACCACAGTCAGAAACGGTGATTTTCCAGTATGATTTCCTAGACTCCAGGGTGTATATTTGGTAGTAAGACATGCTCATTTTTGCCACAGGACATGGTTAAATGGCTGTGGAACAAAGCAACCCAGGCAGTTCCAAGAATTCACTTGTAGTGTAATTTTGGAATATGATTAAGAGCTGAGGAGTGCAGAAAACAGCTGGACTGCAAAACCCCTGGATTCCAGCTGTCTGCATTTCCAGGTTTAAAGTGGGAAATTATAGCACCAGATCTTGTGACTGCAGGGAGCCATAATGTAAATGCATTTGCCATTCTTGCAAGACCGATGACATTCAGCCTGAGCCCCTCTAAGTCTGTTTCCAAGTGGAACTCTCCATCTCTGGGAGAGGAAAAGTGGTTTCCAAGCCTGTCATGAGGACAGCCTTGTGCACAAGGCATGATGTCCAGGCCCTGCCTAAGTTTAGGCAGACAAGGTGATACTCAGGAGATGCTCTCCTGACAGCAGAGGTGATCTGTAAGGAGAAAACTCACCCTGGGGAGCTGGGAGAGTTTCCTTCATGAGGGACTTGGGTATTCCTTCCATCCCTCCCAAGGCCAGAGAGCAATTGTGGCCACGCTTTTTTAGCATGACATTCGCTGCTGCAGCATCACTGAGAGGGAGCGAAGAAGCTCGACATCCCCAGCTGCCCCCAGCCCGCTGCAGCACATGGAGAGCAAGGCCACAGAGCTTTTTGGAGCATGTCATTCCACCCTGTGGGGCACCACTGGATGTGTTCCACCTGAGAGCAGGAGCTCCTGGACACCCAGCTGCCCCCAGTCTCCACAGCCCTGCAATAACCCTGCCATCAGCCTTGGGGCCACTGCCCTGGAGTCCAGTGAGTGTCTCCCACAAGCACATCTGGGTGTCCCTCTTCTGTGTTTGCATCATCTGCTGTTGTGGCTGCATCAGGAGCTGGGGCAGCTCTCTGAGGATGCCAGGAAGCAGCAGCAGAGCAGCAACTTGTCCCGCAGCCTGCATTACTCTGGCCTGGATGAGTGGGCTCTGTTCCAGCTGCTGCGGGACACACACACACAAAGAGCTTTGCCCAGCAGCTCAGTGACACCATCACACACGGGCTTGGGGGGAGGCCCAACATCGGGTGGTCTTTTGGGGGGACAGCCTTTCATCTGGGGGGTGGGAGGACAGCTCTGCTACTGCCTCTAGCCCTTGTGCTTCCAAAGGGGATCTCCCAAGGCCAGCCCTTCCTGGGGCTCCCAGCAGTCCCCGTTCTGCCCCTCCCTCTCCCCCTCCATCTGCATGGAGCAAAAAGAGGCCCAGGAGAACTCAGGGGAAGCTGTGCCTGGGACCTCCGCATGGAGCTGAGGCAGTGAATGCTCACCTGGGAGGCCTCAGCCAGCCCTAAAAAGGAGGGCCAGCAGCTCTGAGGACCCTTCCCAGGCCCCCAGGAAGCCACCCTACTATCGGAGGGTGCATCAGTAGCCACCTAAACCTGGTCCAGGGTGCAGCTGAGGCCCACACCAGCCCCTTGTGGTCCTAGGCCCCAGGTCTATTTAGCATTTAATAAAGGAAAAGGAGAGCATGAAAACTGCAGAAAACCTCTCAGTATTACTAACAATGCCGGCAGAGTTGCTCTGCCCAGCTGTGCTGCTTTTCTGCCCTTTTTCTGGTGTTTTGACTAGCATTTCCTGGCTTGTGCCCTAGGCATTATGGCCCCTAGGATCACTTTTGGGAGAGAGGGGGGGCATCGATGCAGACCCTGGCCAGAAGAGGTGGGATGTTGATGCTGGCAGATCCTTTCACAAGATAACGAGATTTGCGTTTCTGCCACTGACCCCAGGGCAGATGTTTCCAGCCCTGGGTCTCCAGGGCCAGCCAGTGCCCAAGCACTCATCCCTCCAGGCCTCTCCTCCTCCTCCTCAGCACACCCTGTACCTCACATCCCAGGGCCCTTCTCTTCTATCAGCCTGCACTGCCCACTGCAGCCTCACTACAGCAGCACCCAATCCCTCCTTCTGCCTGGAGTCAGGACTTGGTGCTGCTCTCTGAAGCCCAAGGTTGTACTCTGCCGAGGCAGGAGCCCCAGGAATTCAACAAGGGAAGTGCAAATCCTACCCCTTTGCAGGGAAAGAGAAGTGGGTGATTGTGCAGAGCACTCAAAGTAGTAAAGAAAGGCCCAAATGATTAATATCATTTATTCAAGACTTTGACTTTCCTTGCTTTTCTTGGCTAGTGAATAAAATTGTGGGGATTGAGGAGGAAGGGGGTCCAGGTTGTGTGGAAAATCCTACAGTGGGGAACCAGCAGCAGTGGGCAGCTGAGGAGGAGGTCACTCAGGGCAGTTCCCTGCATCTGGTGGAAGTGATTGCAGGAAGAGCTGCATTGAAAAGGACAGGAGACTGGCTGTTTTTGTCTTTCCGATCTTTTGCATGATGGAATCTCCCCAGCCACCTCTGCTGGGAGAAAGAGCAGGTGTGTGGCAGAGGATCCATGCCACAGGTGCTTGCTGCCAGTTGCCCTGGCAGCTGGGAGAGAGCAGAGAGGGACACAAACTCATTTCTCTGGGAAACAGCTCTAGAGGCACTCGAGTGCAAGCACTGGAAGCACTGCAGACGTGCTGTCTCGAGTTAGGTACAATCTGTGGGGATGTGAAAAGCATCTCCGAGGCAGCACACTCCCCCTTTTCACAGTACATACACAGCTGTGTGCAGGGATCAGTAGCATTTGCTCCTGACCAAGGAAAGAGCCCGTGTGTCTGGCAGTGTGAGTCCAAAGGAATGTAACCTTTTTGTTTGGATTTGGTGACCAAGCACTCAGCTGATCTGGCTCCTGGGGACTGGAGAAGCACATGAGCAAATGCACTTCTCTCCCCTGGTGGGAAGCTGGTTTGATGCCTTATTACCGTAATTGCCAAATCCGTCAGTCATTGCAGGCTGTCTTCAAGACCTCATCCTCCTTTACCCTCTGCTCAGGAAGAATAGCCAGCCTATTTTGACAATGCTCGCAGAAAAGTGCTTGGGATTTGTTTATTCTGCACTATGTCTCTGGTCATCCTTGTTCCTCTCTTTCTTTAAAGGTAAGCTCATCTCTGGTTGTCCAGTGTTTTACTTCTTTTTGTTGTGGTTTGTTTTGTTTGTTGCTGTTGTTTTTATTTTTTTTCCTAAATGCTAGTCACATCCTACCTCAACTCTTATTTTCAGAAGGATTTATATCTTAAACTTTGTTAGAGTTCTGTGCTGGTCTAACTGAGTTTTGTAATCAGTTTGGGTAAGTTTGTGGACCTTATAATGCTGGGCACATTTTTTAAGTAGGAGAAGGTGTGGGGTTTTGCTTGGGTTTTTTTTGGTTTATTTGTTTGGGGGTTTTTTAAATTAAAAGTGAGTAATTTTAACTTTCAGAAATTGATTGAAATGTTTCAAAAGAAATATATTCATGCTTTCTTAAAAAATCTAACGTATCCATGTCTTTTTTGAGAATAGGAAATTGTAACTTCACGCTGGGCATGATGACTGTAATAACCCTGTAGGTATGAGAGTGAAATGGTGTTCTACAAAGAAAAATGACCAGAAGAAAATTTTTAAATATTTACTTTCTGTGCATCATTTTGAAAGATTTATATCTCTATAACTACAAACATTTAGTATTTTGCTTTGTTTTTATTAAACACACTTTTAGTATGTTTAGTAAGAAACCTTCCACACAGCAATGGATATAAGCTGGAAACATCTAACACAAATAATAATGGGTTTCTGTAGTCTTCTGACCAAGGTGTCTTTTGAAGTTTCATCATGGTACAAACAAAAATAAGAACTGTGTGATTATTCCAAGACATGGAGGATTACAAGGCTAGCAACAACATGTTTTTATGTGAGAAAGTTGAAATAACCACAGTCCTGAAAGATGTTCGGTATTCTACACAAAATGTGCTTTTGTTGTTCCCTTACAGCTGAAACATACAAGTCTGCAGCAACTGTAAGTCCTAAGACTGAGTATTCCAGGTGTGAAGGACCATGTCGTGTTTCTCACAATTTATGCATAAAGCAGGATTGTCTTTTTAAGGCAGAGATAGTGGTCCACCTATTTCAGAAGTGCAGGGGCACGGGAAACTTACATATATGTGATGTCGCACTGGACTATTCATGTCACAGAGGTAATTCCTCATTAGTTCAATCTGCAAAACATCTGTGCATTTCGTTATTACAGATCGACATTTCAGCTGCCTAATGTAGCAGTGGTATTGCAGAAAAATGTTACCCCACCTTGCTGAATTAGGAACCTTGCTATCCTTAAGACACTTCCATGCTACTTGAGAAGCTGAACTGACAGGCAGGTGATGGCAGCTAGCTATAATCGAGAAGTTGTGTATCATGTAAATACTGCCTTTTAAATATTGAGTAATCACTAATTCATTAGGGGGATGCTTAATTTCTCTGAGCGGCACATGAAGGCAAGCTGCTGTTATAAATAATACAGAGGATTTTTTGCTAGATGCTTTTGCCAACAGTTTACAAGTATGCAATTTTACAGACAACTGCTAAAGCAGATAAAATGAATTTCTGATTAAGTTGGTCTGTATTTGACCTCTGCTTTGTGGATTTTTTTTTAAAATTAAAAAAAAAAAGAGGAAGGAAAAGAAAAAAAGAAAAGGAAAGACCTGGGAATTGAGTGGTTGAGGCAGAAGAGAGAAAAGTCAAGATGATCTTAGCATGTTATCGGTAGCAGAGCATTTTAACACTAACTCCAAATGAACTCCTGCAGGATTTCCTAGTGCACTGACATGGAAGTCATAGCAAATACATCATAACTAACATCACTCTCACACAGTGCTGAGTTGTTTCAAGAGAGTTCATAATAATTCATCAGCTGCTGAAAACTCCTGTAGGGCTGTTCGACAGGAAATTTGTGACAAGAAGTAGGCAAATACCAAACAAAAACAGCATATGAAGAACTCAATCCTTTTTTTCCAATTCTTCCTGCAACTTTCTGCTTCAACCTGACTTCAACTTGCTACACTGCAGGTAGTCTCTTCATTCATGTTAGGTCATTGCAGCCCTCCTTCCTGAAGAACTAGTGGTGCTTTCTTTGGACATGGGCTATATGAAAAACCAGGAAACAGGTTCTCAGCCTCCCTAGGTCCCAGATGATATCTCTTAGAGCCAGACATCCCTTTTAGGCCAGGAGGAATCCTTGAAGGAGCACACAGAGGACAGAAGGACCCCGTGCGTCCTAGCAGCTGCATAACAATGTTGGATGGAGGGGCTTAAAAACCCTGGGGAAGATTGGAAGGGAGGGATCAGACCCATTCCTGCTCCTTTCTCTGAATATAGTGCACTCTGAGAGCCAGGGTACAGACAACCCTGCAAGGAAGTTCTCCGAGAGCATGTCGCAGTGACCACAAGGGCACCTTGGCTCTTTGAGGAGTGCTACCTTCAGATCTGGGCACAGGCACCTACTGGGTCTGAATACCCAAGGAAGTTAAACATGCACTTTGCTACTCCAGACAACCCATGCATTCTAATTACTGTGCTTTTATATACTTTTTCTTTCTTTTTTTTTTTTTTTTTTAAGTGAGACCACTACAGTGCCCATATGCCACACGGAGCATAGTCAGACCTCTTAATTTCTTTGCTCTTTACAGCTTGGCATCAGGGTCTTACTCTGGCCATATGGCTTTGGAAAGACCAACAAAGGCAAAGGCAAACTGAGGACAGGGTCCTTCCTCTGCAGTCTGGTGGGAATATAAGTGCTCAGCTGTATGGGACAAATCCACCACATCCAGGGTGCACTGCAAGTGAGCTAACCAGCTTAAAGATGTAAATGATGAAGTAACTCAGCCTGACTCTACATACCCAGCTGGTGCAAAGCAGCTTTTCTTTGGCTAACTCACAATACAGAGCTGAATTGCTATGCTACGCTCATTTCATGCTTCCTCACAGCTTTGCTGATTTAGATGAGCTCTAGTGATCACATCAGAACACAACTGGTGATCTCTAAGAGCAAATCCTCACAAATTTCTTGGTTCACTTCCATGCAAGCAGGTACCATTTCTGCAGCAACAGAAACATTGGCAAGAAAGCCTCCAAAGGCCAGGTTCTGCTGCCAAGCTACAGTCTCTCTAATGTGTACTAGTTAGACTGATGAGATCTGTGCAGCAGGAAGAAGCAAGGGTGTTACTTAAATACCTATACAAGGAGTCTAAACTTCAGGCCTCAGCTGTGTAGGACTGATGGAACTGCAGTGATTTGTGTTATACAAACTGGTTGACTCCAAATAGATACTGTTGAATAGCTGTGAGGATTCCTGTGCTTTCACAGAGTACAATATCTTGCCATTGATAATTTAGGTGGTTCATGCACCAGGATCTGCTCACTCTCAATGCTGAGACCATGCTGAGGCCTCGCATATGCGTGGAGTTAGGATGGAATGCACTTGTCATGGCACAAGCATGTTTATAGGTGACACTGCTCTGTGATCAAGAGCACTAGTGCCATTGATATGTGTCAATACATTTAAGGGAGGCAGGCAGAGTCCTAGGCAAACCTGTATTTGCTGTGAGTTACTGTGTGCTACAGTAGCTCGCTGCACATGCTTGCCTCTTGAGGTTGACGTTTCAGTTCAATGAACCAGACTTCATGTTCAGTCACTAATTTTCTGTGTGTGTTCCCTGGCACAGCTCTAAGGCTGATCTATATTGTTGTAGGAACAGCTGCAACTGTGGAGCTGGCCCAAGCTTCTGAGAAGTCGCCAGGCTCCAGGAAAGTTGGAGGTATTTCTATGCACATTTGCTGATAGTGATCTGGGCTAAATCTTGGGGTGTTAACTTCTCTCAAACCTCACTGGAAAAAGTGGGAAGGTCCAGAAAAAGCACCTGAGCCCTGAATCACCAGTACCTGCTATATAACAGTATCTGGTATATACATGTATTGGTATACCACTCTGCATATGGGGAGAGATCTAGAAGCAGATACAGTGCATGAGAAAATAGCACCCATCTGGTCTTTGGGATGACACCAGGTAGCGCCTTGGGAGTCTTCAGCCTTGCTCTAACTCAGAGGGCTTTCTGATGGTCTCAGAGCCAGAGCTTCCATTCCAGACACAGGATTCATGGCCTGAAGACACTTTTTACTCTCTCTGGTTTATTCTCCTAAGACATGTGGAGGAGAACATGAGTTAGCGATGGTGGTAGCATACACAATTTCATTTGTGTGCTACAAGCAAGGAGGGAGATATAAAGTCTCTCCAGCTCTAGGGTGTGATTAAAGTAGATCAAAACTCATTGCGTCACTCTTGACACGGTTGTTTGAGGATGCCTATTGCCTAGAGATCCTGCACAATCTAATAAATGTGACTGAGACAGGTAGAGACTGGCAGTCAGTATCACCCCAGGGAATGAAAAAGGTAGACAGGAGTTTATTGCTGTTTTAGAACACACTCCTGAAGAAAGAGTTTTGCTTATTAAGTACTTCCCACATTGAGCAGAGCAGCTGATAAGAAGGCTGAGACCAGAACCAGATGATGTGTTTGGAATAAGAGTCTTTCCACTGGGGGCTTGCAATTATGTAGGTAAATTGCAGCAGAAAGAGAACCTCTAGTCAGGCTGAGTACTTATATGTGTCAACAGCAAGGTGCAGGTGCCTCTGTCCTGCCTTGCTATGAATTGGTTTTGCTCTAGAGTGCTGAAATAGATGTCTACAAACCTTATCACCATTCAGAAATGGATATTTTCAGCACTCATTGCATTCCAGAATGTTGCAGAAGAAGCCACATTCCTCATTTCTGTCCTTAATGCAACATAGATTTCAGCAGAAAAATTACTTAGAAGAAAGAGGCAGGCTTGAAGAGGTCTCATTTCAACCTGAGAACTCAAACAGCCTAAAGTCAGTTTGCAGATTGGGCTGACAAGATTGCACACTGTGTTCCCTGAAGCTCAGCTGTGGTTATGTGAAAAAACCTCTCTGGTCACTTAGTTCTGCACCATGCCAAGAGAGAAAATTAAGTTCTAAATTGGAAAAGATGTGTCTGTGTCAGCTGAGTTGAGGGAGGGTCTTATCTATACAGATTCATGGTCTGGCAGAA